ATCGATGGCCCCTAGGTGACATCTTGTTTGGCACTGCCTTCTTCGTGATTGGGTTTATCCTGATGTTTGTGTTCTCGGTGGTGATCTGTGATCAAGTAAAACATTATGTGGACGGGCTCTTCTTTGGCGCCATATGTACTCTTTTGGCGGTGATGATGGTATACAAGTATTGGGACTCAATCACAAAGGAAGACTTGGAATTCTCGGTGGGATCAAAACAGAATGTATGGGAAGTGAAGGAGCTGATTGGGGACGATGATCTGTCGCATGGTAGCCATTCTCCTTTGCATCAACAACCCACACCCACACCGCCTTTCCCTCCTTCCAAGTCCATCTCACCTCAGCAACCTTATGGCCAGCAATACCACCAAGCTGATAGGCCACCTTTTTAGCATAGTATAATAGCGTAGCTGTCATTTAGTTTTCATTATCCATCCCCTCATGCAATCATCAAATCTTAAACATAGGCTCTCTATTTCAATAAACCAAATACCTACAATTGCATTCTGCAAGTCTGATCCTATCATAGATGAATATTACTGCGATCGCCGGTCATGCATAGGTGCATATGCGGCCAGTTTCGTGTCCTGAATTTTGCGAACAGTAAGGACTTTTTTAGCTAGGGGCACTTTGAGGCCCTGACTTGACTACCCAGAAGAGAGAGCATCAACAATTTGCACCCACTCTAAATTTCAAATCCCGATTGGCAACATATGAACTTTTCTTTGCCTGTCCTTTACTTTTGCTCCTTCTTCCCCTCGTCATCACTTTTTTGCCTCCATTGTCATTCTCTTTACTCCACGACGTCAAATGAACGAACGAACGAGCAGATGAACGAACGAACGGTAACTCTCCTCTTCTCACGTCATGTTCATCTTTTGCTCACCATTACTAACTTTTTACCTTTTGCATCGTTCCTCCTTCTTTTCACCCTAGATCCGCTACAACGATGACGACGACGATAGAGACGACGACGATGTTAATGGCGGCTCCACCTCTGCTTCATGTCGCCCATAAAGGCTGTTTTTAAAATTTTCAAATGTAAAAAACATGGGGAAACCCTTGAAATTTTTTTTTTCTGCACTCATCTTGTCCATAGTAGATTCCCTAGACATTGTACCGATAAAGTGCACTATCCCTTGGCCCATTTGCAGCACCTACTACTATTGATACTTTGGATAACACTGGTCTGCTCTCCTCCTCCTTTTTTCTTAGCTCATTACACTAGATTAGTCACTCCATGACAAGCTCTGTATTCACTGCCACCCACTAGGACATGTAGCTTAAGCATAGTCTCATTCAGTCAATAAAAAATCTACTTGAACCCATCTCCATGACTTTGTTCGTTTGCATAAGCTCCAGTGATCTTAGAGACTTTTATATGTAGTGGTACAAAATAGGAGATGTCAAAGATGAGCTACTCATCTGTAGTTTCGTCTTTATAATGTACATGGTTTTGGATTAAAGAAAAGTCCTTGGGAGAATGATTAAAGTAGGCTTTATTGATGGGATATGATTAAAGGGCTATGGTACAGGCTATGTTTGGGGCTGTAGTTAAGCTAATGTCTAATGGCAACAAGCTATTGTAATGGGAATGACTAAACTGCTGTAAAAGCAAGCAAGTGGAGATGGACAAAACCGGCCAAGCTGTGTAAATGTATCAGTGATAGTAGTGGAAGAGCATGGGCAAAGAATTGGTATACTTTTATCAGCAGCTTCGACTATGAGATTCTACATTGGAATGGCAGTGCACCTAAAAAAAATTGCGAGGGTTTCCCCATGTTTTTTACATTGGAAAATTTTAAAAGTGCCTTTTTGAGCGACATGAAGCAGTGGTGGAGTCGGCAACAGCATCGTCGTCGTCTTTATTGTCGTCGTCATCGTCGTAGCCGTTCTAGTATCAAAAGAAAGAGGAACGATGCAAAAGGCAAAAAGTTAGTAATGGTGAGCAAAAGATGAAAATGTCGTGAGAAGAGGAGAGTTACCGTTCGTTCGTTCGCTTGCTCGTTCGTTCGTTCGTTTGTCGTCGTGGAGTAAAAAAGAATGACAATGCGGTAAAAAAGTGATGACGAGGGGAGGAAGGAGCAAAAGTCAAGGATGGGCAGAGAAAAAGTTCTTGTAGCAAAATCTGGGCTTAAAATATAAAGTGCCTAGGCACACACTGTTGGAGTGTGTGGGCAGGATCGTGTTCCTGAGCTTCAATTTGCAGGAGATCCCTAACATATCAGAGTAAGCATGCTACTGCTTTCTAATGCTATGATGATGACTTGCCTCTTGAATGACAAGTAGGCTGCATCAGAGAAGATCGAATGTTGCCAAATGGGATGACAGGGGTGGAGTTCCATCATGAGCACCGAGTCTTGTATAAAAGTCTTCCTGAACATCATGATCACCTGTACAAATGCATTGGCAGCGACGGTAAGTTGCACGTAATGGACAAATCTCCTTCAAAGTTTACATAGAAAGGGATGTGCCTCCTATCTACCGAATGATGTCCAACATGTTAAAAGTTTTTCAGATCAATCGCCGTCTTTAAGGCCTTTAAGGAGGGGGGTTGTGTAGGGTTTACGGACGTATAATCCAAGAAGTCATACCTATCGAACGGCATCAAGAATGAGGCACTTTTGTGCTGCATGCGCCCATGAGCCCTACACAAATTCCCCTCAAAATAACGACTGACTGAGTGCACACAAAGACGGCGGTTGATCTGAGAAGCTCTAACATGTTGGACATCATTCCGTAGATAAAAGGCACATCTTTATCAATGCTAGATTCGAAGTCAATTTGTTCATTGCGTTCTCAGTAGAATTCATGTCCGAGAAAAGTGGAGACTTTTTAGCGAGAGAGAGAGGGGGGGGAAATGATCCCAAATGTTGAACATCCAAAACCAAAGTACAGCAAAGCTGAGGACCATTTTCTTCAGTGATATGACAATGAAAAGTGATTCTACCACAAACAAGTTTAAAAGCCCAAACTGATTGGAACTTATAAACTCATTTTCTATCAGTTGTGATTTACCTCTTTTACTTCTGTTGCCCCCAAAAGGAAGTCTCTCTTCCCTTCGTACCCCGGCCATGACTTTGAAGTCTCTCATGCAACTTTTCTCTTATCTTACATACAAAATATTGGACTTGATCATACGAGTTTTGGTATTGCTCACTCATATTACAAAACAAGTTGTCATGGATGAGGAGGAACCCTCAGCGGAGTTTGATATTTTTTCCAATCTCCTAGGGATCAACAGCCTTTTTGATTGGGCTATGGAGTCCGCTCTTCCTGGAGTTTAGTCTTTCCCTTTTTCGTCTTTTGTCCTCTCGGCGACCCTTTTTGTTTCTTGTTGGCTTCTTCTCCTTTTTCTTGTCGTCTTTTTCCCTTTTCGTTGTTTCTACCTTTCTCTTTCT